AGAGGGGAGGGGGCATAAGCGTACGTACCTATATACTTGAGCGCGGGACGACGGTTGTGATACAAATGCACACGATTAACGAGTATTATTGTATAGTGTTACAACTCGAGTTAGTAAAATAATATTATAATGTTAGTAAAATAAGTAGGTATACAGAGAGGTAAATAATATGCTGCATTGCTTCCATAGTTCTCCGCACCGACAGCTTCGCCGCCGGGGTGGCAGTGAGTGACGTGTTGACCGGACGAGAGTCGCTGCACGCACAACAATCTCACATAACATAGGTAGGTACAGCACGACAACACAATATTTTTAAACTGCATATTTTGTGGACGTGTACACCGCAGATACGGTATTAAACCGAAGAAAAACATAACAATATAAAATATAAAATAAAACGTGCCTAACAATATGATATTATTGTATATCACTATAATATTATTATAATATTAAATAATTATGACATGAGATACGTGTAGGTACAGTATCCTAACGACGATCGTCGGTGTCGTCTACACGTCAATTTCGCGGCCCACGTCGTGGAACTTCACCATGTTTTTGTTGGCGCCACCGCCGTTCGCTTGCTGCTGCGCCGCGGCCACCGGCGTTGCGGCCACGGTCGGTCCACCGCCCGGCGGGTTGTTGCGCACGTCGTTTTTCTGCCGGGGTCGGTGATGGTGATCCAACTCGTTGGTCGCCGTGACGTTTCGATATCTGTCAGCAAGCGGCTGCTGCGGCGTCGGTGATGGAGGGTCGTCTGCTTCGGCATCGGCGGCGTAGTCAGACGCGTCGACGGGCTGCGGCTGTTCCGCGTCATCGTCCGGCTCGACGGCCACCACGCCCCCACCAACGCCAGCTCGGCGACGGCGGTTCTGCTGTCGGCGCCAAGAACGCTTGGCTGTCAGCGACTGTTCGTCGGAAACGTTGCCGGCGGACGCGGTGCCGACCCCGCAGTACGGACGTTGCTGTTGCTGCTGCTGCGATTGCCGTTTCGACTGTTGCTGTCGCGTACCCATGCTAGCGTACACGTCTCCGGCGTAGTAGCCAACGCCTGACACGGTGTTGTAACTGCTATTGGGGGCCACGGTATTGTAATTGTTGGTGGCGGCCGACTGTACGGGTGGTCCGTCGGCGCCGATGGAAGTGGCGTTGCTACGCCTTCGGTTGCCGTGCTGTTGCTGTTGCTGGTGATGGTGGTGGTACTGTTGCAGGTGTTGACTGCTGCCACCGATTCCGCCGCTGTAATAGTGATCAGACAACGGACCTCCACCGACGCCATCCAAGACTTGCTGGCTCCCACGGCGACGTCTTCCCATTGTCCCACCGGCGTTCATCGATTTGATCTTGTCAGCGTCGCTGCCAACCCCGTCACCGCGGTCGTTGTCGTTGTCGTCGTTGTACCGGCCGATCGCGTTTTTCTGTTGGTGTTTCAAAGATTTTTGGTACGCGTCTTCCCGACTGGAGCCGGTCACCTCGAACTGGGTCATTTCAATAGACTGTTGTTGTTGTTGTTGGTGCTGCTGTTGTTGTTGCTGACGATGGAGAACAGCGCCGCCGCCGACGGTAGAGTATCCAGCGGTAAGAGCAGCCTCAGCCGCGTCGTCCGCAGTCACCCGGTGGTACAACAGTTGATGTTGTTGCTGTATTTGCATACGGTAAAACTCGTCCAAGCTTCGAGCTCCTATCCCAACTCCTGTTAGCTGTTAATCACACATACACACACACACACACATGCGCGCACGCACGCACACACACACACACACACACCCAATCGCGTTGTTAGTAAATATTTTTTATGTTAGTAATTTCGCAAGCATTGTATAAAATAAAAATAAAATAAAAATACGACTAAGTATATTATTCTAATATGACAAACAGGCGCGGTTGGTAGTGGCGGGGTGGAGGGGGGGAGTGGACGCGATTACAATATTTAGCGACTAACGCGGTCCACCGGTACGTACCTTATTGCTGCCGACCAAGCTACCGTCACCGTTCAACAATTGCTGCAGGTTCTCGTAGGTGTCACGGCGGGCCAGCGACGGCGGCGCCACCGAGGCAGAAGGCACGCGTGTCCTGGGCGCCGGTTTGGGGAACGTCGACGAGGAAAACGCGTCTTTCCGCCCGTCCTTGAGGTCCGCTGCCGCCGGTGCTTTCGTCTTGTCGTCGCCCACACCACCGTTATCGTCGTCGTCGTTGTTGTTGTTGTCTTGGCGGTCACCGCCGTCGGCCGGACGTCCGGTCGGTAACTCGGTGAACTGCTTGTCGCTGCTGCCGGAGCCCACCGTTCTCATCGACCGGAATTGCCGATCGCGTCGCTGCCATGCGGTCGCCCCGCCGCGGTTCGGTCTCTGCAAAGAGTTGAACCGAACGGCGGCCGCCGGACGACCGACGACGTCGCCCGACTTTGGGGCGGTGGCTTGGCGCAGCAGCGACACGTATCCGCCGTTTGGCGACCGGTGGATCAACGACGACAACGGCGGCGAAGGCGTCGATGGGTCTGCATGCGGCAGCGGGATAGGTGGCTTGCAGTTGGTGCGTCCGACAGTGTTACCGTTACCGTTGCTTACACGTGGTTGACGCGCGGGTGACTGTTTTAATTGGCGAACAGGATGATTGGCAGGGGACAAATCATAATTGACAACGCATACACGAAACAAAACAAAAAACAAAAACCAAAAACAAAACTGATAAAAACAAAGCGTAAACGACAAAAAAATAAATGCATGCTTTCTCTATGTGAGATAATGTTATAATGTTATAATATTACAAAATAAAATATTACGCAATAAAATAATATATAATATGTCACTGTTACGGTGGTAAGCCGTGACGAGGAAACCGATGACTAACCTGATTGGGCGGCGGTCGCATTCCGTGGAACGGCAAGTTCTCGTAGAACGCGGCTTTTGAGTCACCCGTCGCCCCCAAATTGGATTCGTTGTCCTGCTGTTGACCGGCTCCACCTCGCGAATCTAAACATAGAATAACGCAAAAATAGTTATTTAAAGTCGATTGCATACTCTGCACATACGACGAATGTGTCTAACATCACGTGGTTCCGTAGGTACACGACCCTGCAGTAATGTAAAGTATTTTGATGTCATCGAGGGGGTATACTTGTCCATGGCCGGGTTTCTATTCCTCGAGGATATTTAAAGATTTTTGCACTGTTGCAAGAGTTTTTTTTAATTGTTCAATAAAAATAAACGTTTGGAATAAGACTTAACGTTTGTTTATACATTTTAATTAGTACAAACTAATTTACTAAATATGTGACTTTTGAATATTATGTTCTTTGAGTTTGCTCTTGTTAATTTTACATGTGTGTCATTTTAATAATATATAATAATTCGGACCCAATAATTATCATATGTGTAAGTATGATAATATGTTGGTCGACTCTATAGTATGTGTTTATTGTCTAATATATTATATGATATAGGGCCATATGGAGTGATCAAGGGTGTAATTAATGTTACAACGTTTTAAGTACCTAATAGCATTTATATACATTTATTGCTGTAATGGTATTATTGGTATTGGTATTGGATTTTGATTTGTATTATGAAAACTTAAATTTTTATTATCGGATGCATAATAATAATAATATTTTTATATTACACTTGATTATATAATTAAAATTGAAAATTTTTTTCTTGTTTATTGTGTGAAGTATTTTGATTGCAAATAAAAAGTGTATTTGAGTAGTGACTTTAATATAAAAGTACCTATTCAAAGTATAGAGAATTTTTTTACAACACTACGTGATATATTATCCATCCTCAGCTATTTTCTACACTATAAAAATAGCGAGTTTGATATTGTGTTTAAACCCATAGGACTTGTCTGAACGAGTTGATTTTAATGGTATGTAAACTTTAACAATTACTCTACATAATACTTGCGTGCTTGTTGTCGGTGAATATATATTTATATATATTGTAAATAGCTTGTATCGATTATTAAAAAAACAAAATAACATCACACACAATATACAAACTACATCTAAGTTTTAAATACAACACATAACACACAATAAAACTTATAGTAAATACTCCGAAATACAAGCATTTATATTGTCTATAGACTATAACTAGAAGGCATAACTTAAAAGTTAATTTTCCACATTTCAGGAAAAAAAACGATGAACAAAAATGTAAATTTTCTGCCTTTAAATAGTTTATTTTCTTAACAGGTTGACGGCCAATGGTTTTTTTTTCAAGTTACTTAAAATCGATTTTGAGCATCTATTTGAGTTCACAAAAATATTACTAGGATTGACTGAAATCGATTCTCACCGAGAGCTCGTTTAGCTTTAGAGTCACAATAATCAGTATTTTCTAGTCGGATTTAAAATGTGCAGTGTTACCACTCTCTGAGCTTGCGCCTTGCAGATATAATTAATAGTTTTTTTTTTTTATCAATTTTTGTCTAAATCGTCAAAACTGTTTCCAAGTAAGCCTATGAAAAAACCCCGTGGAGTACTGGAGTACGGGAGTAAACTAGTGAGAGCCCAAAAAGGGGCTCATGGCGGCCAATCCGTTGATTGTTTAAAATTTATTTTTTTTTTTTTGTTAGCCGATCCAGTTATTGAATTGTGTTTTATTTAATGGTTTAATTTCAATAATCACTAGTATAACAAAACAGTAAGTTGGGACTTTGCTTATAAGAAAATATTTTCGAAAGTAAGTATTGATCGACATGAACAAAAAAATAAAATAAAATAAAATACGAATAACATTTTTAAAAATCGTCGTATCGAAATATAAGCCTCATTTTTTAGAAAAATTGTTCTTGCGTCGTTATGTCCCTCGAATACAGTTGTATTATAGCAATGAGAAATCCTACGGCTTTGCAATTGAATTTATACAATCTAGTTATAGAAAAGCACAAAACTTGATTTCCTTAAAGATATGTCAGTCGTCTACCGTTACTGATCCCGTGCTATAAAATTATTTACTTATTGATATTTCGAATATGATTTTAGACGCGGCATGTTATTACGTGGTCGTTTTGCTACCTGTTACGGAAGGACATCTGTTCGCGCCGGACGCGCCGTTATCCGAACTCTGCCGGACAGGAGGCGCGGGAGGAGGTGACGTGGGTGATGGTTTTTTTGGCACCAAATTATTATTAGATCCGATCATCATGCGACGTATACGAGCCGCGCGCGCTGACTGAGTCTCGTTGGCCAACATAATGCACTCGGCCGCCGGTTTTCCTTTACCGGTGTGGTTTTTTTTCGACTTGTGTTTGTCGCTTTCATCGGAAACGGTCTTGTCAGCCGGCCAACTGTCCGCGGTGTCACCCGTCACCGATTGGGAGTGAGTAGCCGACTGTGACTTGTGCAGCTGCTGTTTCGAATGCACCAAGACACCCGGCTTGAGCGGCCACTTGCCGACGCTCGCGGCGGATGCGGTCCGCTGGCTGGAAAATGATTCTGAGTGATCGTCACCGTATCCGGGCGGGGGCTTAGGGTTGCCCGGGACATTCGCCGCCGACTGATCTGAGCAATGCTGGGTAGTCGAGGGGTTGGCACCGGAAATCGTCGACGTGGCACTGCCTTCGGGACTACAATAGGTACTAATCGTTACAAGAAAGCTCGACAGAGTTGTATTATCGTATATCTTTTAGCAAGGTTTAAGCAACCAGCAGTCCCGATTGTAGCGTGTATACAACAGAATATATAATAACAATGTATCCAAGCACATAAGTTTTATAGCGGTAAATAAGAAGAGCAAAACAACAATAGCCGTCGTAGGTAAAAAATGTAAGAACAAATATGAAAGAAATGTATATAATAATAGGTATTCAACCACCACCGACATCATATTATTATACGTCCCGAAAGTAGAAAAAATAATAATTATGAGAAAAGTGCATTTGAGTGCTAGCGCGCGTACCAATAACAATAGTCAACGTCAGTGCCCGTAACCATACAATACTCACTTTTGTCGCACTTTCGATATGTTTAATAGCAAGCCACGGCCTCGGTGCCGGCGCCAAACGACTGGTACCCTATACGCCGTCAGTGAAGGGTATTTTTGTTTAACATCTAAATATTAAAAACAAAAACGAATCACACAATAAAAGCTATACCTACTAAAACAAAAAAACACAAATACATAGTCTACTACGTAAAATAATACAGACAGAACAATACGCACTAATATAATACTAACACTATAATGATTATATCACTACATCCACAGTTGTTATACCTTTTTGATATGTTCACATGCCGTAGTTCTCAAAGTATTTTGTTACCGGTTTATCACATTATAACAATGTTATGATAACGTATATTAATGTACATGATTTATTAAAAATAGAACACTTACATTTCTGACGTCCTCCCGACACTCCGTTCCCTGGTTTAATGTAACGGTTCTTACAAACGAACAGCAACAGGATTACAATGACGATGATGACAATAAGTAGCAAAATCACAACCAAGGCCACTAAGACGACCATCACTGGCAACCCACCCAAACCTATGGTCGCCAACAACTGTTTCCACCACGGAGCGTCACCTATTATGTATGCGTAAAAGATAAATAATTGTAAATTTTCAAAGTAAACAATAATAATAGAAAAATAATAGAAAAATAATGGAAATGTATAAATTATAAATTATAATTATATTCTACTATTAATGTACTGTAATGATTTTAGTGAGATATAGGCACTTACTTTCCCTGACAGCTAATAAAAAAAAAAATATATAATCTATTACTAAAAATATATGTAATGTTAGACAACATTTTAAGTATCAGGTGCAGATAATATTAAAAAAATATTCTGAATACGTAATACGTTAAAATCAATACGATGACATGATACTGTTTTTGAGCATTCATAAAACAAGTGATGCTCTTCTTTTCCAATCAGACCTTGGCCTAGTGAGGTGTGAATCCCTGGGACTGTCATTCTATATCTCTAAATGTAATTGAATATCTTACTTTCGTATCGCAAAACCAATAACTACTGTCGATTATACACACATCCACAATATTCCAATTACTTCTTCTAATTCTGTCAGACCTAGATTTTCACTTTTCCCCAAAACTACAAATTAAAAGATCTGTTGCTCCTTAGTCCTGCCTATTCTAGAATACGGATCTATTCTATAGTACCTTCAACTATCTATAGATTCCATAGCAGCTGAAATGATTCAATGCAAATTCCTAAAATGTGTGGTTTAATCTCTAAAGGTCCTTTATTGTCCTTCACATGATAATAACTTTTAAACCTATACGTAAGTGTAGTAAAGCTTTAAATTTATCCACCTTTGCTAATCGGAGACACATTGCGAATATATAATTTCTTACCAAACTTATGTCTAACTCAGTTGATCACCTATAACCTCCTTTCACAAATACACTTTAAAGTTTCACCTCATCATACTAGATACACTCCTCTCTTCTTTATTTCGTTTTCCTCATCCAACTATGTATTAAACTTCTTCTCTCTATCGTCTTATGTACCTTGCTCATGAAGACTTCACTTTTAATTAGGTATCTATAAACTTTTCAACAACTGAAGCTGTTGAAATTATACTGGATTTTTTATTACTATTATTTATTCAATTTAAGATAAAATGGTACTATAACTCAATGTTTTAGGCCTTAGCGTATGTTATTATAAAAAAAAAATGAATAAATAGTTTATTTTTAAATAAAATATTATATATTTTATAATATTTCTATAAAGGGATTTATGGTTTTATTTGTTATCTACAAAAAGAAATGTATAGCATATTATTATGATGTTGACGTAAATTTTAAAATTCAAAAAGTAGTTGCATTACTTGTTAAATTATTTTTAATTTTAAATATCATATTTATTCTATATACATAGTTATATTGAATTATAATTTTGATTTGCCCCTGACTAGTTATATTAGTTAATAAATAATTAATAATTATATAAAAAATTAATATTCCTCGTCATTCAAAATTTTCACCCGAAGTGTTTATTACCTTGAACTTGAATGCTACACTGGTCCGATCCTACAGTGTTGTATACAGTACACACATATGTCCTGACGCCTTCTGATGCTCCATTGTTAGGTATATTGTCGCTACCTCTTCCTTCATCATCTTCGTTGTTAGTCACTTCCAGTCTATCTTGTAATATTAGCATGCTTCGGTTATAACTTCCGATATTATCCACTTCATTCGATCCACTGTTGCCCGATGATCCAATTGATACTGTGATAATCCTCTCAGTTGCAGGAGAGTCAGATGTCAAAGATGTTGACGTATCGTTCTGACGACCCGAGTTTCTTATGGTCCATGTGTATTGTACTTGGCCTGGATTTGCAGTAGCTGTACACACCAGTATTCTCTTTTCACCAGAAGATGAAGACAAAAATTCCTCTAATTCGGAAGATTGATCAGTCAAACTAGCTGATGACTCTTGTTTAAATTGGTCAACGGTTATCATCCTAAGTTGACAGGTAGGCTTATCTATAAAAACACAATTATCATATTCAATTTAGAAGCAGAAAGGGAAAGTTCAACACTTGTCATCAATATTTAATTCCATTTTTTTTTTAAAGTTTAGGTGGGTACAAGTGATCATTATAAGAGTATAACTGGTAAACAACAATGTTAAATAACATCATTATTGTTTATCGAAAATGTTAATACCGAATTATCGCAATTTAATTTGAATTCATACATACAGAACTCAATATTGATCAAATGTATTATACATATTATGCTTATTGTTTTCATTAACATGAATTATTATAAAAATGATAAGCTTCATAAATAAAATGTTTTAACTAATCTAAAAACGTTTGATGGGAATAATAACAAATATACGATACATGATATTTCATTTGAAATAAGATATCATTCAAATAATGTAAATTTTCATACTAAATATTAGTATAACAACAAATTCAATTTTTCAAAATAAGACTTGAGCACATTTACTGACAGTGATTCGCACATAAATAATGGCTAAACTGATTAATTTTCGTGTTGAAATAACAACAGTGGCGGATTTCGAGACAATTTCCAACAAATCACTAAGACACTAAGTACATTTTTACAGGGGACACCGGTTAAGAAATCTAGAAGATATAACATTGATAATGCTCAAGATTAAAGATGAATATATGATGTCTGGTCTAAGAATATGTTTGTATATCAAAATAGTTAATAATAATACATTTAGTATGTACCTATAACTTTACAGTGGTGTATGTAATTCGGAGAACTAAACTCATCATAGTTTTTCTAGCGATATTTCCTTTTAAACTTGGTGATAATAATTTATTAATATTACCTATTATTAGATATTTGGTATACAATTTTAGTTAGGACTAAGTTCTCCATAAATGTGGTTTTAAGCTACGCATATGGTTGTTAGTTTAACAATGTTACATATTATTATTTTCTTTTGATAGTTGTGACATCCTTATATGATTTCACTCACACATGACGTCCAGATAAGTGTACGCAGTTTCGTTTCCGTGTGTGTTGCGAGCAACGCAGGCATAATAACCAGCTTGTTGCCTACCCACAGCTGAGTTTAAAACCAACTGTTGGTTGTTAATTTGGCCACCACCGCTTCCAGAGCCTCCACCGATACCACTGTTTCCAGCGTTGGCGATCGATGAGAGTCTTTGCTGAGAAGACGATTGGGTCGACTGAGACGAGTTTCCTGGCACGTTCCAGTTGTTGGTGCTGGCAATGTAACGCCACTCGAAAGTGGGCTGGGGGCGACCTTCGGCGTGGCAAAACACTTTTTCCGGTATGTTACCTTCACTGACGTGCACAACCGTTTTGGAGACGGTCATGTTTCCAGGAGGATCTACAACATATAATGATAGAGATTTAAATTGTGTATCAACGTGCATGCGACCTAAAATGCTTACACTCAACAGAGAAATTCATTATAGATTCTGACACTGGCGGCCCCACTTCATTACCACTGCTCCGGCAACTGTATTCTGTCGAGTCTGTTATAGGATCCAAACCACGACCACCTGGCCAATTGTCCATGCGCCATATCAACGTGCTACGCACTGCTTCGAAATCGTTTTTCAACCGTTCCGCGGGCAAATATTCTGTCAGTATTGAATATCTGCAACAATAATCATCCAATTTAGAAAAATAATATTTTCTTGGTTAAGGTTTTTTAAAATAGATATAAAGAATTAAATTTTATGTAAGCACACAATATTTAATTAAAACCAAATATTTTTTTAACCATACATTAATTATAAAATTTAAAGAATTTTGTACCTTTCTTTGTCCATTAAGTTGTTCATTGGATCAATGAGGACACCACGGCGTAACCAGTTCACGGAACAATGAGGATAACATTCAACTGTGCACGATGCATTCACATGTGTTGCATTATAAGCTACTCCTAAGTATTGCGGAGGTCCAGTAATGTAATTTGGCGGAGCTACAAATAGTAAAAATGTTTAATATATAAGTTTTTTTTGGATCCTTGGATTTAATAAATATTTTTGTTATCTTACCAAAAACCTCGATGTATACAGGCTCGGAATATGTGACCCCGCCTTCGTTGTAAGCAGAACAGGTGAAATTAGCCCGGGTTTCCAGTGAAACATGATCGACGAACCAATCAGGGTTGAAATTCCCTCCACCAGTATTTCCGTTGGTGCCAAGATTAATTCCAGTTCCAGAATTTATGTTAGGATTTATTAGTCCTTGGTTTTGATGGTAAAATGGATGTCCATCGCGAAACCATGAGTAACGAGTAGGATGTTGTGGCCGACCAAGAAATTGAGCATTGCATCGCAAGGTAACGTTTCTTCCTTTTATGACTCGTCGTGGACTGAACTCCAATGTCACCGGTCCCGGAGCAACTATTCAATTTAAAAATATTTATTTATTCAAAAAATTTTAATAAAATATGTAAACATTAAAATTTGAGCATCTACTCAACTAATATATTACCTACAGGATAAGATAACAAATATTAATTATCTGTTATGTGATTACGATTTATATATTATAATATACTATTGTAATTTATTATTGTATAACAATATATTTCGACATAATTAATATTTTTCATATGAGATAAGCCCCATTTTTTTTTATATTTTTAATGAAAATGTATTAAAAATCGTTCATTATTTCTATAGTTGTTATTAATCTACAAGACACCTTCCACCTTACATGATAAAATTAATTAGCTTCTTAAAACGTAACATTTTTTTTTTTAAATATGTAGGAGTATAGAATGAAAACTTATGTAAGCTTACAATATACGATGAGAGGTGTCTGATCAGACATCGGAGTAAGGAGACCAGCGGCGTTTCTTGCTCGGCATGAATAATTTCCGTGAATATTTTTCGTCACATTAACTAAAATAAGTTCTCTATCGGTGCACACCACTTTTCTTTGTTTTTTATTGCGTCTTCTTGTGTCATTATCAACAGCATATGTATCATATTCTCCTTCTCTTTGTGGTTCACTGGTGTCATAGTTCAAACTCATGGCATTATTCTCATTCTCATTATTTTCAGTATCAAATTCGTTGTCTCCGTCATCTTCATCTACAAAAATATCACTACTATCCGGTGATCTAGTGCAGTTGGGCAACTGCATTTGTACGCCATTCCAATACCAATGAACAGATGTTAAGTTCAAAGACGGGTCGTTGTTGGTGTCTTCGATGTTTTGCTGATCCTGTTCTAATTGTACGGCACATCGAAGTGTAACGTTGCGATGTTCCGATTCTAATACAACTGGATTTGATCCAACCATATTATTGTTGATACTGCTACTCGCTGTTGTTGAAGTTTGATTTTCATCGAGTGAATCGTCTAGGATAACGTGCAATTTTACCTTAGGTGTATCTGTAATAAATTCGACAAATCATAGCAATTCAATATTTATTTTATTTTGTTTTGTTTTACTTAAAAGAAAATATTTTGTATTAATATACTATTATACGTACACTGAACACGAACGTTTGCAAAATTTGTAGAATTGGCTGCCCCGACTGAATTTCTTACCCGGCATTCATAACGGCCCGAGTCATAACGTGTTAACCTCCTAACCACTAATACCGTTGCGTCTTCACCATTTCCATCTCCATGAATGCCTCCATTTCCATTTGCCAATCCTTTAACTCGAGCATATTTTGCCGGATTTCCATTAGGATTCGTGTTGAATCTAGTATTAGCACCGTTTGACGATCCTGATAGCGTACCAGTACCAGTAGCTGGTGTTACTGCTGCATAAGACGATGCTGATGATCCGTGATTTGATGAAGAAATTTCTTCTTCGTCAATTAGTTGTAACTCAATGCCATCTCGATACCTATTTAATACCATAATGTTATACATTAGGAAACTATATTTTTACTTTTCGTGAGGTACCATATTCTAAATAAATAAATATTTACCATTTGACAGGTGTTCGGAGTTTATCTGGATTGGCGTGATATGCGCAATTTAGTCTCAATTCTTTAGTTTCGTTTACCACCACTGTATATAAAATTGATTGATAATGCAATCCATCGTATGTATCTTTAGAAGCGTCTGTTACGATTGGGTTGGCATTATTGCTACCATCGACTCCTCCCTTACGCTGTTGACCTATTTCATTTTTTATTTCATCCTCTACAATCGCACCAGAATTTTCTCCGTCAGTAATGGGCACTACCCAGGCAGTTGGTATATCTGAAAATAAAAATCGAATTGTTTAAACGTTTTTCAAAATGAGGGAATCGAACATAGTTTTGTTAGATTTACTTACATTTAACTCGGATTGTCATGTTTACAGTGAGGGGTTGATTTGGCGATGAACCGACATTGTTGAATGCGTCACACCGCAGAATAGAACCGTCTTGTTGGCGATGAAGTTGTGACATTGATAATTGGCTGTGTGTATCTCGGGTGCCATCAGCCTGTAGAATAAATACCACAATAGTCAATAAGTATTTATGACTGTCAATTTTTGTGATACGTTTCAATATTGAAGAAAATATAAAATAAAAGTTAAATTATCTGTTTTTATTTTTTCTAAGTTTCATTTATTTCTTACTTGATATTCAGTATGCTGTGCTATTTCTACGGGGCCTATAATTTCTGCTCCACCTTCCATACGCCGCTGTTCCGAAATCAAATAATCACTGGGAGACCTAGCTGTAGAACCCCCGTTTTGCTGACTGTTGCCTAACATAACGGGTGCACCGTGCTTCGACGATTGAACGGGAGGTGCATGAACATTTTGTTCATTTCTTATTCCACTTCCGTAATCGTTGTCGTCGTCATTTTCTTGATCCTTATAATAATAATACCATGTCACGTTCGCTTGAGGACGGGCTCCACGGGCCGCGCACCGAATTACTAACGGTTGGCCTTCTGTAGTTTCGGCGTAAACTACTGCTCCGGAATTTCTATCATGTTCACTATTTTGAGGTTTATAACGATCGTCGACTTTAGAAACCTTAGTTACTGGAGCACCTGATGATGACGTGGACATTTCAACTGAGTATGGACTTACTGAAAAATGTATGTAAAAAATATTTATTTTCACTGTCGTCTAGAGAATACTAAATTATATTATCATTTATAATGGTTTTAATTTTTATTTTAAGTATAATGTACTTACCATTTACAGTGACTTCGACATTGGATGTTAGAATTGGTGACGAATCAGTCGCCGTTTTTACTCGACATTCATATCTACCGTTTGCACCTCTCTTCCCGATAACGGTAAGAATGCTTTGTGCAACCCATAATCCTGAGTACGAGAAGACGTCATCGGACATATCGGAATCCACTTTTCGGTATTGATAATCAACTGGAAATAACAAGAAAATATACTTAATTCTATGACATTGTTATAAACGAAAAGACATGTTTGTAAAATAAGTTATTATTTTAAGCAAAAAAAAGAATAAAATGTATTTATTTTGCAAAGTGTTGGATTGAATTATATTACCCAAATCAGTATCATAAATTGGACCACGACTATGTTGCCACCAAGTGACTTGGGGTATAGGCCTGGCACGGCCTGCACGGCATACTAGACGTATTTTATTTCCTTCATCCACTGGACCCACGATTGCTCCAGATGTTAATTTTTTCATAATACCAAATTTTGGATCACTATTTTTGTCGTCGTAAAAATCTGATGAAGGATCGATGTAGTTATGCGCTGAAAGATCACCGGGTTGAGCAAATGTACCAACACTGATTGATTCAGGGTCAGCTATAAACAGAAATAAAAAAAGTTAAGATATCAATAATTGTAAACGTAATTAATTAATTTATAACTCGTTATTAATTAAATATCAACAATTTTTAATAGGTACAGCTTAAAATCTATATCATTTCATTAAATATTATTTTCTATTCATATAATATGATACACGTTTATAATTCAATGTATTTATTTACTTTTGTTTTCATTAAACAGCGCACAATATTTATGGTTGATTTCAAAAATTGTGTGACATTTTTAATCATGATGGTATAATAATATTTGAATGCGTAAAAATAAAGTGTGAAAACTACTCAAATTAATACTATATTTACCTTAATAAGTATAAAATTGATTATTAATTGTTAATATTTACTAATTAAAAAATATATTACTCATTAACTGCAAATTTAATTTGTTTTCAAGTTTTTTAATCAAACGATAGCATATTATATGTTTTTTTTTTAACTGAAGTACGGATATTAAAACCATTGATTTTTATATTAAACCATTTCAGTAAGCCAAAACCAATTATTTATACCATTGAACAGTTTGAACAACTTTTATCAGATATTACTAACACAAAAAATAATTCATAAAGTGAAGTATTCCTTTGCTCTTCTCTTGAAATAAAAGCGGACAAACTAAACTGGAAACACACACATTCACCTTCTAAGGCCCCTATTACATTCGAAATTCTCTTTCGACAAACTTCTTTGGTACGAGTCACCACTAAAAACAATCTGTACCTACATATTTGATTTATTGTATTTTAGAATTCTACTCTACCATCTACATTAATTACTTAGACGATACAAATATTTCAATGAATCTGTTTCCTCGATAACTTTAAAGTTCCGTAGTTTTTCTCTAATCAAGCTTAATTCAATCTTAAACGTTAAAACAATGACCGAACTCTCTTAGATTTACTGTCTTATTCTCGAAGCTCAATAATTCATTTTACCACTGAATGATTATCATGGTATAGACTGTAGAATGTAGATCATTCCCCCACAAACACGGAAAGGTGGCAAAAATGAGTTAGAAAACTATGCTTTACTGAAAAACAAAAAAATTTTGTGGATTTTTTGGTAGGGAGGATTTTGTTTGATTAACTTATCGTCTTATCGTAACTATAAATTATATATTATGTAGTATATATTATATATTCAGATCATGAATATTGGGTAGATTATGAAATATTTCATTAAAAAAAATTAAGTATTCAGTATTATATAGAAAACGCTAAAATAAACGCTTGGTGAAAAATTATTTAGTTACGAATTCATTTATAAATTCAAATATATTATTACAAGTTTTAATTGTTCGAAAATTACTAGGTATACAACATCTAAAACATCACTGAAAACATAATAATAAAATAAAAATAAAAATAAAAATAAGTTTTAATGTTATACTATAGGTATGTTCTATAATCTATGTAGAAATGTCATTACCTGTTATTTATATATAATGTATCATATCACATTTTTTTCAATTATAAAATAGATGTAATTTCTCTATATTAAATGACAATAAATGCATAGATGTTCAAATACGCAATCATTACTATTTATAGTTTTGTATTATTTGTTAACATATCATTCAGTAATAATATTTTCATAAAAGTAATGGTTAGATAATAAACGTTTAAACAAAGGTACATTTTAAACTTTATGTATAAGATACACATTTCAAGAACAAACTGTTATAAACTTCATCTTACAGTAGCCAATTAGGTAGCTACATAATTATTTTATACATTGTCATACAGTGAAACAGATATTTTTATGATAACGATTAAATATTAAGATGGTTTAATTTTAATATACTAAAATTACTTAAATAATAACAATCTAACCAACGAAATGATTAGTAAGATTCAAGATTTTGTTTTATTTAGTTTATAAGTATATTTAAAAATTATTGTTTTTTTTTTTATTTTACATACAATGCCTCGACTACAAAGGTCATTGGCCGCAATTATTGTTTTAATACAATAAATTAATTGTTTTTATATAATTCAGACTTACTGTAAGTTGTTAGGTTTATAAACTGTACGATGTTGCAACCTTCGTGTACTTTAGTATACGTGATCTCACATTTATATACACCCTCGTCGAGTGCTGTTATATTGTCCATTACTAAAAATCCCAAAGTTGAATTTGGTTCCGTACTCCAATACGATCTGTCAAAAAAAAAAAAATATACATTATTTACATGCTATATACATTTTAGAACTGACAAACTGTATCGTTTGCAAAATTGAAAATATACCTACACATTTATTGTAACAATTAACATGGTGGTATACCTAAGTAGATACTATGGGAATATGTATAATATGTAGCCATGTAGGTATACATTTTTATTCAAGTGGGATTCTTTTTTTAATACGTTCACTTTAATATTATACATATATTTTATGAATACATATTAAAGTTACACCATAGTCCCCTTCCATATGGAAATATATCTTCCCTTAACTGAACAAAAAATTAATTCAGACCCCTCTATATATACAAATTAAATTATAAAAAGCTGGGCAGAATACGTAGACCGGATACTCGCTTCGTCAGCATCGGTGTAGAAGTATTATCACTACAGAAATACATTCATTTGAAAGTAAATTATAAATATAAATCAGCGAATTAAAAAAAATGATTTGTAGAAAAACTGCTTTTTGTGAGTTCCTTGACATGCTTAGACTACGGTTGTCAGTTGCAGTTTTTCATTTCGTTTATACGGAAAATGCTAAGAAAATTGAAAAATTACCTCTTCGTAAGTACCAACTACACTAGATTTCCAATTGGAATATACTTGAAACTCGTGCTTTTTCATTGGCTAATGCCCAAGTAAGTGTTCACCATTAAATATATAGGTATATAAACACTAAACATCATGGTACAACTAAAACCAATACATTTCTCGCTATATATATTTAAAATATTAAATTTATAAAACAGGGGATAAAACCATATTATTCCAGTATGAAATTATTTGAAATAATTATTATCGAAATAATAATACCTAATCATACGTCATAGTAAATATTATATGATATTGTACAGGGGAACTGGTATTTAGGAAGATAATATTTTATTATATTGCTACGGTAATTATTGTAAGAATAAATAACTGGTTACATTAATGTTAATTGATATTGTAAAATAATATCAATATTTGTTTTATTATAAAAAAAAATCATACATAGGCAGTTTTTAATTTTATATGTGAGTGTGTGGGTAGTTTCAAAATTTAACCTTATGCAGGATAAAATGTTCGTGACACCGCGACCGCTGTCATCACATTTTTACTGGTTTCGTAGTGTAGATATTATAAATTATATTTTAAAATATATGTATACATAATGTGCAATAACTATTGATAGTTAGTAAATGTCTCTAGTTGAAGACGACTTTATACGAACAAAAACCACTTATAACCAAAACCCCACAGTATTTTATAATCTTCATAGAATATAATATTATGTAATCTTATTTTTAAACGATTATTTATTATGTAAATACGTGTAATAGCGATTGGATAAACGAATAATTGTTAAACAATGGACGTCATAATCTAAGATAGTCACGAGGCACCTACTGAAAGTTTGCTTTTGGATGAACGTAGAAAACTAACCAAAATAATTATGAAACTCTTTGTAATTAAGACATTCGCCATTTTACATTTGTATGCTGTGTTTGTGCTTTTAAAACTTTAGTATTTTAACTCTTAAGTTAATGAAACTATTTAGTTTTTATTACAGTTTAAAAAAAAAAACAAAATGTTTAGTCCGTGAAATAGGTACTTAAATTTTATTTTTTAATCTGATATTTTAAATGTATATATAATTTAATAGTTAAGAATAAATTAGTATTCATTTAAAAAAAAAAAATAAAACTATATCTAACTTATTCCACTTGAGCGAAACGCATAAGGCGCAGATTGAACAACAAAACAGAGTATATTTTTAGAATTTCTTGGCTTCTGTATTTTCTTATCATATAAGAGTCATAAGAGTGAAAATAATACTTAATGATTTGGCATAGTGAAAAAAAATGGTCTTAATTTTGAATTTTATCGAGTACTTATAAACCTGACAAATTTTTAATATCCGTCCCAAATATGAAACATTGTATACATTAATTGTTATATAGGTACACTATTTGTTCACGATTACACTAAAGTGAAGTAAGAATATACGATTAAAACGATTCTTTTGAAGTCAGTTTACAGTGCCTAACTAATTTGTGTTCGAGACATATTCGAGATGCTTTTAAGAATCTTTAAATGTGTACATATACATATAAACGTATAATACAATCTACCACTGTCACATTAACGTCACGCACTCGCGCATAGAAGTAAGTGAACCAAACACATGCTATATCCGTATTCTGCTCACTTATTTTGTAATTCTTTATTATAAAGTAGGTACAATAGAAATAATATAGCCATACGCAAAATCAAAAAGTAGTAATTGGTAATAAAATCAAAATACAGAAAATTGTATAAGAAGAAAATGTATTTAATTATACATTTTGTGATACCGTCTATATTCCTTCAAAATTCTTTATATGAATAAAAACAATTTTACTTTAAACAGTAAATTATTATGTTGCCTTAAAATGATCAATAGACCGAAATTGTTATTAGCATTAAGCTATTTGAGTTACCGGAATCGATTGGGTCTTAAAAAACTAGTCTTGACTCGTGAGAGCACTATAGAAAAAAAATGTATGATTTCACATAATCCTCTTAACTCCTAATTGTGGCACTGTATAGCTAGTATAAAAGCGTTATTTCCTTATTATGGCACAATTTGATGTAAAACTTTTGAGTGTGCATGACTTTGGTAATTTCAACACGAGATTTATTTGTATTTCTTGGAGCTTGAACATTCAAGATGGCTTCGATAACTTTTGAGAGGGTTACCACCTACCTACCACCCAGATTGAACCTATTATATTATAACTTTGCAGTATAGCATAGTATAATTAGTAGTTAACGAAATATATTTCAGAATAAAAACAAGTTTATGAAAAGAAAATGAACATTTGTAATAATTTGACTTTACTTAAATAATATAAAATGTAATGTGCACTGTGTAGTATATAATATTATTACCAGTGTATACAAAGTGATCATTTTATCAAAGGCGAATAATTTTTGAAGATTTTAAGATGTTTGAACGTCTCATATTTATAATTAATTTAAACCAATAGCAGCACGATTTTCCATCTCAAATGTATGTATAAATTTGTTAGCCATATTTCAAGGTTACGAAAGAAAGAAATATATTTCAGTTTAATAAAATCCTTACAAATATGAATTGATTTTAATTTTTCAAAATAGAATAAAATCTTTTGTTTCAGTTATAAAGCTAAAATCATATCACCCCAATTAGTTTTTCTGCATAACCTATCAAAAATGCCAATGAATACATACAGGTAGCTCTCTATTTAAAAAAATTTAAATTGGACCACTCATGTTCCTAATTTTGTGTTCGTATACATAGCTAAATAAATTCCAAACTCTAAATTAAACATCCTTTGAGACTGTTTTCTTAGCAGAGTCTGATTACTCCGTGAGTAAAGACTATGTAAAAGTTTTACCCATACGTATTGAGAAACTGAGAACTTAGATATATAATAATCGATTAAGAACTTTTATGAGTTGATTGATTATGGTTCTAGTACACACTAATGTTTATTTACTTCTCTCGAATATTCAAGTCATCATCAGATAATGTATAGTGTATACATATAATTATGAAGTGTCTGTTATATGCCAAAATACGATTTCTTACAAAAGACTGCTCCGAGTTCCAATATATAAGCATTTAAGTTTTAAGGTTTACATAGGTAATTGAACTAAGTAATGGTCCAATATTTTTCGGATGGAATCAACTACAAAATCTATTAACCTAATCATCATATTTTTTTAATTAACTATGTTCAACATAGACTATTCATACTACAAAATATTAGCAAAATATTTAAAAGAAGTAGCAATGGCGTAGAGTTGGGGAGGGGGGGAAATATATTGACCAGCCCGGCGACCCATAATAAAACTGAACAAAAACTCTAGCTAACAATTACATTACTTACATTATAATTGTATTTTTATCTCAATACAAATAGCCTTCTTCCACTATTTTATACTTACTAGTTATAGTATCATAGGTTACCAGCATAGGCATAAATAACCCATTTTTTTTAGAGATAACAATGACTAAATAATTAATACATATGCAGAGGGATAATTAATCATATTACATATTATAGCTACCATATGAAGGTCCAAAACTAGCCCATACCCGGCCGGACAGAGACCTGCTAATGACAAGAGGGGGTAAATGCCACCCTGCCCCCTAAATGACGCCACTGATAAGTAGAGGTGTGTTATGGGCAATGGACTTATTATGGGCATTAGGGCCTATGGGTCAGTTTAATTATGGAAAACTTAAGTCCTTCTAAAATATTAATTGACTTCAGCTAATGTGTTTTCATTGGGGATAGAATATACAAAACTTATCAAATTTGTTTATAAGGCCATATATAGTGATATAATTTTCGGGGTCAAACATTTTTTTTAAAACCTACTACATTATTTACAACAATTTTGTATCATAGTAATTTTCTAAATATAAATAGTAAGCTAAAATATTCATATGATGTTTTCAGAATTGCAAATGAAATGCATTGAAATGAAATTTTGGTTAAGACTTTTGAAAATAATTGAATATATAATTAGAATACCTACGATATGAGTGTAACCTTAGATTAAAATTTCAAGATTGTATCTATCTAAAATTATAACTATACATTTTAATATTCAAATCATGTATAAGTAAACAATTTATTGAAAAAAAAAATATATAAAGTGAGATATATTATTAAAAGTAATATAGATAACTATATATTATTATTATATGTATAAAATATATGTGTAACTATTATTGTTGTTATTATTATTATTATTATAAAATACTAACACTAACCTTAAACATTTTATCAAAACAAACAAAATTATATCAGTGCACCACAATAAAACTATTTTATGTTTACTAAATTAATTATTTCGTATTTCGTCATTACTTTGTGAAAATAACTTTAGTAAACTACGTTCTATTTCATATACTGAATTACATTCTAATGTAATTTTGAATGAAACTGAATAGTG